CGGAAACCTTGATTGGTAAATTAGTAAAAACAGCCAAAGCACTGGCGTGTTCGCTGGAGTACTAACTGAAGATCTGAGGAATCATTTTTGTTTCCGTCATGACAACATTTTACTACCCAAGCGCCCCATTAGCATTAAAAAAATGTTCAGTAGAGATATAAAAACAAATAGTCTTGAATGCTTCATCATTCTTGTTTCTATGGAAACATGGAATCAAGTTATGAATGAACCAAATACAGGAAAAGCCTATGATGTTTATAGTAAAATTACAACAGTACTATAAATAAGCGTTTCCATCCTTTGATATTAAAAAAAAAACATAAAATACCAAGGAAACCATGGATTACACGGGATATTAATGAACAAATAAATAAACGTTGTAAAATATTTCCAAGTATAATAAAACTGGAGGAACAAATCTAGTCAGCGATTATAAAAAATATAAATATGAAATTACGCTCAATATTAAAAAAATAAAAATAGATTCTTTAAAAATAAGTTTTCAGAAATATAAAGGCACCCCACTAAAGTTGGGAATACTATAAAAAACGTCGTCATTTAGTCGGGATTTTATTTCAGAAGAGGTAGTAATTGACGGGTATCCATACGCTCGAAGGTCATTGGCGAACAAGTTTAATGACCATTTTATTTCCCCCGGAGCGTGTGGATCGCCAACCGAACTTACAAATTACCAGTCACCTGTCTGCTCAGATGGCCCTGACTCAAGTTTTCTTCAACCTTCTGATGAATTGGAATCACGTAGTATAGTAATGTCCCTTAAAAATAACTTTGCATGTGGCGACGACGATATTAAAGTCACCCCGATTAAAACAACACAAGACTTTGTGTTAACCCCCATGATACATACGTGTAATCAAATCTTTTTCACGGGTATTTCTCCTGATACAATAAAATCACTAATGCTTATGTTATCCACAAAGGCGGTGCTTCCGAGAACGTAAACAACTATAGGCATAAATCCATGCTGCCTTTTTTAAATTGTTGAAAAATTATTAACGTGGTGGTTTTATATCTATTATTTTACCGAGGAACTGACAACTGAATATCAGTTTGGTTTTCTGGAGAAAAAATCAACAGAATCAGCCTTAATTCTCATTAAAGATATAATAATTTCAAATATAGGAATTCATAAATACACAATCGAAATATTTCGAGACTTTAATTACGGATCTGACTAAATTAAACACGAAGTTTTATTGAAATATTAGAGTCATACGGAATCAGAGGTAATGCACGTGAACTAATTCGTAGCTAATTAACATCGCGTTTTCAATACAAAATATTACATGGTTTAAAATCAAACTTTCCCCAATATTTCACGGTATTCCGCAAGGTTCCATCCTTGGACTTTTGTTATTTCTACTTTTTATAAATAATATTGTGGCTATGCCGTAATCACACAATATCATTTTATGCGCAGACTACACGAACGTCTTTTTTTCAAGTAGAAACTTTGTTCATCTTGAACGAGTTTGTAATAATTGGCTTAATATCTTTTCACTGCGGCAAAAATGTCATCAACTTATTCTTAACACAGGTAAACAAATATGTTATATTAAGCCCAAGAATAAGCCAATTCCATATGACTGAAATGTTCTTTTTAAGGTTCGAATATTGAAGGCGTAACAACACGCATGTCTTTTTGGTGTGGTAATCCAAGTAACTCTTAATTGGACTTCCCACACTGATCAAATAAGATGCCGTGTATTGAGAACAACTGCCACAAAGGCTACAACTACCGAAGTGGTTAACATTGCAACTCTATTACTCACTTGTTTATTCGCATCTACTGTACTGCACTATTCTATGGGAAACAACTACACTAACACATCGAAATAAGCGATTTGTCTTTGAAATAAAGGATGGTGCCGGTGTATTGGAAACCTAGTAAAATATGATCACAATGTCTACATTTTAGTTGTTGAACATACTCGCTATAGATCAAATTGGGCTAGTAAAAAGTAACATTAATATTTTCATCAAATTAGACAGTACCAATCACCTTTCTGTAGCATGTATTAAAAAATTCAAGGAAATTACAGTTTACTATATAGCCATTACATAAAATCAAAGTCCGCAGTAATTATGGAGTTCAGCAACTCTCATATATCATCCCAGACACACTTAACACAAACTCCACCATAATTCAAATGATTGAAAATATTAGGTCATTCAAGACATTTAAGAGTAGCCTAGTAGGTTTTATTTTAAACCTTCCGCGACCTGCAGTTTTCACTCTATTATATAATGCTTTCTAAGTTTTAAACCAAATTGGTATTTTATCCAATGCTGATGTATGTAGTACGTATGGGAATCATTCCTTATCCTCTGTTTGCCTATTTTCCTCCTCAGTGCTGTAAAAACCTTGGACTGCGGTTCTATAAGAAGACAAGACATGTCGTCTTTTGCACTAGCCCGTCCCCCCTCCGCCCCCACCCCCCCCCCCCCAAAAAAAAAAAAATGTTAGTCTGATATCAAAACTAATATACAATACAATAAACAATTCAATACACCACGACAACACCACAGATAGTCCAACCTCCTGGGACTGCGATATATGAACGAGGACGAGATCATGGTCGAAATAAGGTCCCTATATAGAGAAGGTGGCGCAATTCCCCCTCTCCGGGCACTTTTTTTTCCTTAAAACATTCTCCTCTCCCAGCAACTCCGCGCAGACATTGCCGAGCAAGTGTTTGCTGCTACAACGTAATGATATGCCGTTTGTGCACCATTCTGAGAGCTCCTAATTCAGCAAGAGTGTCTCGGTCGAGTAATAATATTGCAAGCAGCTTTGTCCACGTTCGTACTTGAGGACGAAAAGACGAGACCCGCTCTTAGACGCAGAACATTTCGATGAAAGATGCATGCAGTTGCGATTTTGGAGCATTGACAGATTGTGATATTCTGCTCCAGTTTTTAGTGAAGCAAGTCGCCGAAAGCAGCCAGTTGACAAAAAGCTATTTTTATTGAGCATAAAACTCTGGAGTAAAACTTAAATTTAAAATTTTACTACGAGCAACACTGCTGCTGAAGTGCAAGCTCGTCTCACTTCCTGCTTGAAGCTTTAGCGTTGTATCAGCTTGCAAACAAACTTTTTCTGCCGTGCGAAAAAATCTATTGCGGCGGAGATTATAAAGTAGACAATTTTAACAGTTCTCACATATGTATGTATGTTAGTGATTTCTGCTTTTGATCTCCAGATTGATCACGTCGTCAGTTGAGGTCATCGAAGTTGCTATTTTATGCTGTTGTTTACCTCGAGGAAGACTAGCAAGCACGAAGCCATCTGCATCAGAATGACGTCCATTCATGCTGGGCCTTAAGAAGAGTGACCGTGCACAGCCTTTAAAGAGACGAGACATTCCAATGCTCTGGGTACAGATTTTTTTTTTATTATTCTAAGTGCTGATAACAAACAATTAAACGTGTTTGTGCAAAACCGGATCAGGAAGAGGAATGCCACCGAGCTCGCCCGATGCCCGGCCTCGGCGCTCGCGTCCCCCCCCCCCCCCTTCCACACCAAAAAACACCAAAAGACAAACAAACAAACAATACTGCCACACATACACCGATACTGATTTTACCTAGGAATGCAAGGACCCTTGACCTTGCTCGGTAATGAGGACGGATTCCCGCAGCAAGCCACGTTTCGTGGGTTCATGGGAAGGGTATTTGTCACATCAAACTTAAACTAATTAGTGACGAGGGAAAGATGGCGTTGTAGAAGAAACGCGAACTGCGAGGAGGGAAGGTTCGTCTTCTCGCAAAGAGTTACGTTACATTCAGTAACGCGGGACCTTAATTCGGAGGAGTTGAATAGCCTTATCGTACTCTACCAAAGTCACGGATATTAGAAAACAAATAAAAACTCGGGTGCGTAGAGTTGAAAGGCTCACCTCTGACCAGTAATGATGTCATTTTCTATTCCTCCTCTCCTTTCTCGCACCTAGGCACCTGGGGTGGGCAATTGGAGAAACCACGCCATCTTATTAAGGCTTTGCGTCCATCTTAAGAGTAAAAAAATGGTATAGATGATATATTCTTGTTTTACAACGCTGACAAACGTCTACAGCTTTCTTTAAGTAATTACGCACGTAAATGATTAGTAATTGGCATCATATGATTAGTTGGGTCTGAAAAAGGTAGTGACACCTTTGTTGGTCCTCGGCAAGTGAAAGGCGAGAGGCTCTGTTACTTTGCATTTTTAGAATTCTGAAAATTTATTGAGAATTTGAGAACGAACTTAACTGTCGGAAACTGGCCACTAAAATACGGCCTATTCGACTTCATAGCGACGCAATTATTTGCGACGTTCTGCTAGGTAGCGCTTTTTGAAACCTTTTTAATTGGTTCGCTCTCGGTGGTATTTTATGCAGAATTGCGTTCTAACCATACTAATTTAAATCTATTGTGGTTCGAAGCATGTCTTAGGGCAACGCGGAGGGCAGGACAGATGGCCAACTGCCAAATACATGTGTCTTAGAGCAACTCAGCGTAATCCCATAATTCGTGCACGTCACTAGTCGTCCCACAAAACGCAATTTGGAATTTGAGCTCCAAAATGTGTTTGAGGGGTGATTCTTCAGCAATCGCGGTGATTTCAGCGGAGTTTCGGAGTTCTTCGACATGGCCCACAGCTTCCCCTTTAGTGAGGTGTCACGTTCATTGTAGGACGTCGCAGGCTTCTAAGTGCCATCGCCTAAAACTAAAGGCAGAATTAGTTTGGTAAACACGCGGCGACTCTACATGCAACGGTTTGATATATGAAACGACACACAAGTTTCTGGTAAAACAAATATAGCCGAAGCTACCTTTACTTTGCCATTAGATGGCGCCAAACAGTTTAAAAGCGGCCAATTGTTTTTCTCTTTAATATCTTTACTCTAGCGCTCAGAATCTATTTCAGCACTGTCCTTTTAATTACTGGTGCTATATCCAGGTGAATCTCGAGACCCCAATCACCTCGTGAAAACGGAATGAGCAATATCCGTCAAGTTCCTGCCTACCAGCTCATCGACGGTTCCCGACGGTGGCCATACCTGGATCCGGCCATAGCCCACGAAGCTTCCAAGTACGAGCCACAAGATGATGACGTACTCCTGGTGACCTACCCTTCCTCCGGCACACATTGGACGAAGCAGATCATCGCGCTCATCCTTCATCGAGGCGAGACCGCCATGAACTACGTTGAGTTTGTCACAAGAGGCCTTTCTCTGGAAGTTTGCGGCTCCGCAAATGTCTCGAAGCAGCCGAAACCCAGGCTCATTCTCAGTCACTTTCAACTGCTCCGAAATAACTTCAACGCAAAGGCCAAATACGTGTACGTGGCCCGTAACCCTTGGGACTGCTGTGTCTCTTACTTCAATATGTGTCGCACTATACCGTTTTTCAAGTTTGAAGAGGGTAGCCTCGATGATTTTCTTGACGCCTTTCTGACGGGCGGCCTCGGCAACGGTGACTACTTTGAGCACGTTCGCGACGCCTATGCACGCAGGAACGAGCCCAACGTTTTCTTCTTGACATACGAGGACCTAAAAGCGGACACTCCCGGCATGATCCTCAAACTAGCTTATTTTCTGGGAGATGAATACGGGAAGGCGCTAGAGCAGGACGAAGACCTTTTGCGGAAAGTTTTGGAAAGAAGCAGCTTGGAGTTCATGGGTCGCGTATTGGAACCGAAAGCAAGCGACCTTCAAACTATAGTAGCAAATTTTAAGGATGTCAATTTCACGCCGTGCGAGCTTTCGTTTAAAGACCGGCCCAATAAGTTTAAGACGTTTCGTAAGGGTCAGGTGAATACCTGGAAGGAATACTTCACAACCGAGCAAGCGCAACGCGTGCAAGCCAGGCTGCAAGATATAGCACCCGAGCTCTGTACATTGTGGGACTTAGTGTGATCATTTTTCTCTGCACCTCTCTTCAAAGTTTCGCTCAATATGACTGAAATTAATGGATCACCCCGAATTTGTAATACAATATTTTTAAAGTATTTCCTCAACAATTTATTTAATTGGCGGCGACTTGTAAATGTGCATTTTCAGTGGGACACGTAAAAAAGTGCGTTTTGTGTTTCGATAACGGTTCTTCTAATAATGTTTTACCATGGTGAAAGCATAAAGTGATTTTACGATTTAGCTTATTATATCCTTGCTATCTTTCGTACTAGCATTTTGCTTCTATGTCACTATGTTAGCAGCGTTATAGATACTGTGTGTATGAGTGTATGTCCTCTGCTGCTGTATCTGGGGGTCGGGCAGGTGCTTGTTGAGCAACAATGAGGTGCTCTTTTATCCTTTCCCTCTTTCAGTAGAAATAATTTTTTTTTTAATTTCATATTTTAATTATTTTTGTTTTAAATTATTGACAACCAAAATCTGCTAACTGCATTGCCCATAAGTGGAATTGTACAATTAGAATATCTCAGGTCAGGTCAGGTCAGGTCATCTTTATTGAGCCTTTATCGTACAAGGGGGTCGGACCCTTTAGGGTCCGAGTCTGGTACAATATTTAAACTTGGCCCGGGGGGGAAGGGGGATGAAGGAGGATCGTTGAGAAATCTTCTGTGCTGGAGCTGTTCTTTAATATGCTCGAAAAGGTTTTCGGCACTTTCTATGAGGAGAAGTTGTATTTGCTTGTCTTCTGTTTGTAATAAAGACGTCCAGTGCGGGATCATTGTGGTCGTGTTTTCTACCATTATCGATTTTAACATCTCCGGAGGAGCAAAGTTGGGGCACTCCCAGAACATGTGTTCGAGGGAGCCGGGCTGGGGTATGTCTTCAGGGCCTGTACATCTCGTGCAGGTACCATCGAAGAGGTGCGGGTAGATCTTGTGGTAGCTCCGTGGAGTTGGTATGACGAATGCTTGTAATCGTCGCCATGTGCGTGCTTGTTGGTGGGTGAGCTCCTTGTGTGGAGGTGGGAGTGTTCCTCTTCGGTTCCTGTAGACTCTGGTAGCTTCACTGAAGGATGTGTCGAAGTCTCCCGAGGGAGGGGCAGCGTAGTTGTGTTCTCCGAAAACTGTCCATCCGGTTGCGACGTCGTCTCGGTTTGATAACGCTCGAGACGCCATCGAATGGGCGGTTTCGTTTCCAGAGTGATTCGAGTGCGCTGGGACCCATATAACCTTGAACTTGCTGTCACCTGATGGTGACCTCAAGCTACTTAGAAGTTTCCTAGCCGGGGCGCCTATCCTACCTCGAAGGTAGTTCATAATGGCAGTTCTTGAGTCTGTAGTTATGGTACTGTCGTCGGCGGTTTTGGCTGCAGCTAGCATGGATAGTGCTACCGCAGCTTCCTCCGCTTCGTCAATGTTGTCAGCTGCAACAGAGGCAACATGACTGTGTTCGAGGTTGAAAGCTGTGATCACATACTTTTTTGGTTGCCCAGGGTATGGGCTGGCGTCCGCATGATAAACGGTGGTGTCCCCGTTATGAATCTTATTGAGGGCTTGTGCTCGGGCTTTCCTTCTTCCGTTGTTGTGTCTGGGATCCATATTTCTCGGAAGCGGTTTAATGACGATTTTTTTACGCCATTCCTTAGATATGTCCCATATGGGTGGTAGTACCTGTCCGTACTGTAGCTCGACTCTCTGGAGGGTTCTACGCCCTGTAGGCGTCTGTGACAGTCGATGAAGTTGCGCCTTCCTTTGAGCTTCACTGAGCTCCTGGAATGAATTATGCAGTCCCATCTGTTCTAGTCTGTCGGTAGACGTATTCTGTGGTAACCCTCAGGCCGTCTTGTACGCTCTCGGATTATTGCATCGATTCCTCTTATGGCAGTTTGGGAGAGAGCCATGTATGGTGCAGCATAGGTAATCCTGCTCAAGACGGAAGCTTGTGTAAGCCTACAGGTATCCTTTTCTCCTAGACCATAATGTCTGTGAGAGATTCTTCTGATAAGGCGAGCAACGTTGTCGGCTTGCTTACGCAAGATGCGAAGTGTCTCCATGCTCCCTCCGTTTGCATGTAGCGTCATGCCTAGTATCTTAGTGGATTCCACCCTTGGTATGGGTTGCCCTTGTATTTGCACTTGAAAGTTTAGCAGGGGTTTGCCCTTCTTGAGTGGACTCCTTGCAAGTAGCGCTGACTTCTCGGAGGCGCATTCTAGTCCCATACGGGCTGCTTCCTCCGCCACTATGTCTGTACCTTGTTGTAGTGCCTTTTGCATCCATGGCGGCGGGGCATTAGTCCATAGGGTAATATCGTCCGCATACATTGCATGCTTGAGATATGGGACTTGCTCGAGTCGTTGAGATATGGGTATCATAGCTAGGTTAAAAAGGAGAGGGGAGAGGACTGCTCCCTGTGGTGTGCCTCTTCCTTGATACATGGCAAAGGAGTCCGACACGTGATCTCCCAGCTTGATTTGTGCAGTTCTATTCGTAAGAAAGGACTTCACGTAGTTGTATGCTTTTTCGCCTAGACGGAGACGTGACATCTGCTCTAGGATAGCCGAATGTGCTACCCCGTCAAACGCTTTACGTAAGTCCAGCGCTGCTACTGCTTGCCAGCGGGCTTCTCTAGAGTGATAGTCTTTGTGAAGTTGTAGAAAGACGTCTTGTGTCGATAGATGGTTTCGGAAGCCATACATCTGGTGTGGGAATAGTCCTTGCTGTTCCATGTGTTCCTGAAGTCGTCGCTGTATGACTCGTTCCATGAGTTTTCCACCACATGATGTCAAAGATATAGGCCTCAGGTTCGTGAGTGCCAGTTGTTTACCCGGTTTCGGAATAAAGCATACGATTGCGTGTCTCCAACTAGGAGGGACTTCTCCCGTCTCCCATATGCCATTGAAATATTCTGTGATGGCCATGACAGATTCATAGTCCAGGTTCCGAAGAGCTTTGTTGCTGACCTTGTCTGCCCCGGGTGCCGAGTTAGGCCTAAGGTTTTGCATGGCAGCTCTTCACTTTCCTCGATTGGACGGTCGATGCCTGGATTGTTTTCTCCTGAGTAGACTCGGCTGTGCGCTTGACCTCCTGCAATCCTGGGCGCTTGGAGGTATGTCTCTTAGAGTATTTCACAGATGGTGTCTTCATCGTCGGTTGTGTCCCTGAGTACCTTTGTTAGGGCTTTACATTTTTCTGTTTTTGTGTTTTCTGGGTCTAGTAGATGCCGGTACAAGGCCATGGGCTCTTGGTATGAAGTTGACCGTTGAGCCCATCGCATGTTTGCCTCCAGTATTGTTCATTCAGGTATTTTGCAAGTTCCTCTATATCTCGAAATAGTCGCACCGCTTTTTTTCGCAGTTTCTTGTGTATTTTGCCAGTATCTTTCCATCTTTGGTACATTGAGTTGTATGCTTCAACCATGTTTTGCAATCTAGTGTCCATTGTTCTCGCTTGCGTTGGGTTGGGCGTGTCCCTCGTGGCTTCACTCTGGTCTTCGGTAACTTGCTTTGCCCACTGTTCTATCGATGTTATGGGTCCTCGACCTCTTCGAATTTCTCGAAAGGCGTCCCAATCTGTAACAGAGCATTGTGGAGGTTTTCCTTGTCCTTCTAGCTGAGTTCCCAATGTAATTTCCAGTATAAAGTGGTCGCTGCCTAAGTTTTCTCCAGTGTTTCGCCAGTTTGCCTCTGCGATGTTAGCCATGAAGGCTAGGTCAGGGTTGGTGTCTCTGCTTACACTATTACCCATCCTTGTTGGATCCGTTACGTCGTTTAGGAGTACCATGTCTCTTAACGTGACTTGCCAATTTATTGTCTTGCCTTTCTTGGAGTCTGTCTTGTATCCCCAGGTAGTGCTGTATGCGTTGAAGTCTCCTAAGATGATTATCGGATTGCTGATGGCAATTTGTGCTACCTCCGTGAAGACATCCGCAACTCTGTCCGTATGGTCCTTGGGCGGAGAGTATGTGTTGCACACGAAAAGGCTTTCTGTTTTTTCCTTCTTGGTGAGAGTTCAACTAGTATTGCACCGTTTTGTCCTTCTAGTTGAATTTCGTGTTGCCTGACTGGTATGTTTCGGTTAAAGAAGGTATGAATAGGTCTGCTAGTCGAGGGTGTCGTCTGTCCGAATCTGATGTACCCTGGGATTGTACAGTTCTCATTGGATTCTTGTATTGCTATGATTTCGGGTGGATGTTCAGCGGTGAAGAGATGCATTTTTAGGGCGTTGATTTTGCTTCCCAGTCCCCCACTGTTCTATTGCCATATGTTGAGCAGTTTAGCGCTGTCCCTGCCCATTGGGTGATGCTATTGCTGGTCTACTTGTTGGCGTGGGTGGACACGTCAGGAACTGTTCTACTCTCGTGAGGCGTTCATCCGATTTCACACCTTGTTCTCCCAGTCGTTGGATGCGCGCATTCATTTGCTGAAAACGTACCTCCACTTGGTGCTTGAAGTCGGTCAGCCTTTCTGCCATATCCGATAAGGCCTTGAGTATTTTTTCTTCTGTCGTGGGTTCGATACGTCCCATCTTGCGGCGCCTTTTTTCTTCTTCGGTGTCCGCTGCAGGCTCTGCTGTTTCTACTTGTTGGCCGCAGGTGGACTCTTCCACTACCATTGGCCTTTCATCCCTTCCGCCGTTTATTCCTTTCTTGCTTGGGAGTTGGACCACTTGCAGTGCTTGCGTGAATTGTCGCTGCGATTCTGCCAATTGTCGCTGTGATTCCACTAGTTGTCGCTGTGCTTTCGCTAATTGCAGCTGTGTCTCTTTCAGCTGCTTCTCGAGCGTCACGACTCTTGCCATCATTCTGGGGTCTGACGGAGTGGTCACTGGTTCGGTCTTTCTCAACGCAGAGTGCATCTCTGTTTGGTTGGTCTTAGATTCTTTGTTTCTATTCACTGCCGCGGCGTAGCCTTCGGTAGTTGCTTCCTTATCGTCCATGCTTGGTTCGTCCTGTCGTCCAACTGATGGAAAGGATTCCGACCGTGCCCGGTATCCTACACTTGAAGA